GGATTCGGCCAAGATGCCCCTCTTGGGCCCAACTTGAAACCTGGATTCGGCCAAGCTGCCCCTCTTGGACCCAACTTGAAACCTGGATTCGGCCAAGATGCCCCTCTTGGGCCCAACTTGAAACCTGGGTTCGGCCAAGATGCCCCTCTTGGGCCCAACTTGAAACCTGGATTCGGCCAAGATGCGCCTCTTGGGCCCAACTTCAAACCTGGATTCGGCCAAGATGCCCCTCTTGGACCCAACTTGAAACCTGGATTCGGCCAAGATGCCCCTCTTGGGCCCAACTTGAAACCTGGATTCGGCCAAGATGCCCAACTTGAAACCCTCTTGGGCCCAACTTGAAACCTGGATTCGGCCAAGATGCCCCTCTTGGGCCCAACTTGAAACCTGGAGTCGGCCAAGATGCCCCTCTTGGGCCCAACTTGAAACCTGGATTCGGCCAAGATGCCCCTCTTGGGCTGAACTTGAAACCTGGATTCGGCCAAGATGCCCCTCTTGGGCCCAACTTGAAACCTGGATTCGGCCAAGATGCCCCTCTTGGGCCTCTTGGGCCCAACTTGAAACCTGGATTCGGCCAAGATGCCCCTCTTGGGCCCAACTTGAAACCTGGATTCGGCCAAGATGCCCTTCTTGGGCCCAACTTGAAGCCTGGATTCGGCCAAGATGCCCGTCTTGGGCCCAACTTGAAACCTGCGTTCGGCCAAGATGCCCCTCTTGGGCCCAACTTGAAACCTGGATTCGGCCAAGATGCCCCTCTTGGGCCCAACTTGAAACCTGGATTCGGCCAAGATGCCCCTCTTAACCCCAACTTGAAACCGGATTCGGTTTTTTGGGCCCAACTTGAAACCTGGACTCGGCCAAGATGCCCCTCTTGGGCCCAACTTGAAACCTGGATTCTGCCAAGGTGCTTGGGCCCATGGATTCGGCCAAGATGCCCCTCTTGGGCCCAACTTGAAACCTGCATTCGGCCAAGAGGCCCTTCTTGGGCCCAACTTGAAACCTGGATTCGGCCAAGGTGCCCCTCTTGGGCCCAACTTGAAACCTGGATTCGGCCAAGATGCCCGTTGGGCCCAACTTGAAACCTGCGTTCGGCCAAGATGCCCCTCTTGGGCCCAACTTGAAACCTGCGTTCGGCCAAGATGCCCCTCTTGGGCCCAACTTGAAACCTGGGTTCGGCCAAGATGCCCCTCTTGGGCCCAACTTGAAACCTGGATTCGGCCAAGATGCCCCTCTTGGGCCTCTTGGGCCCAACTTGAAACCTGGATTCGGCCAAGATGCCCCTCTTTGGGCCCAACTTGAAACCTGGAAGCCAAGATGCCAAGATGACCCTCTTGGGCCCAACCTTCGGGCCCAACTTGAAACCTGGGTTCGGCCAAGATGCCCCTCTTCTTGGGCCCAACTTGAAACCTGCATTCGGCCAAGATGCCCCTCTTGGGCCCAACTTGAAACCTGGATTCGCGTGGGCCCAACTTGAAACCTGGATTCGGCCAAGATGCCCCCTCTTGGGCCCAACTTGAAACCTGCATTCGGGCAAGATGCCCCTCTTGGGCCCAACTTGAAACCTGGATTCGCGTGGGCCCAACTTGAAACCTGGATTCGGCCAAGATGCCCCCTCTTGGGCCCAACTTGAAACCTGGATTCGGCCAAGATGCCCCTCTTGGGCCCAACTTGAAACCTGGATTCGGCCAAGATGCCCTTCTTGGGCCCAACTTGAAACCTGGATTCGGCCAAGATGCTCCTCTTGGGCCCAACTTGAAACCTGGATTCGGCCAAGATGCCCTTCTGGGCCCAACTTGAAACCTGGATTCGGCGAAGAAGCCCCTCTTGGGCCCAACTTGAAACCTGGATTCGGCCAAAATGCCCCTCTTCGGGCCCCCAACTTGAAAACCGGGGTCGGGCAAGATGCCCCTATTCTGGGCCCAACTTGAAACCTGGATTCGGCCAAGATGCCTATGGGCCCAACTTGAAAATGGATTCGGCCAAAGATGCCCCTCTTGGCCAATTGAAACCTGCGTTCGGCAAGATGACCTCTTGGGCCCAACTTGAAACCTGGATTCGCGTGGGCCCAACTTGAAACCTGGGTTCGGCCAAGATGCCCCTCTTGGGCCCAACTTGAAACCTGGATTCGGCCAAGATGCCCCTCTTGGGCCCAACTTGAAACCTGGATTCGGTGGGCCAACTTGAAACCTGGGATTCGGCCAAAGATGATGCCCCTTCTTGGGCCCAACTTTGAAAAATGGATCCTGTGGGCCCAACTTGAAACCTGGAGTCGGCCAAGATGCCCCTCTTGGGCCCAACTGAAACCTGAGTTCGGCCAAGATGCCCCTCTTGGGCCCAACTTGAAACCTGGATTCGGCCAAAATGCCCCTCTTCGGCCCAACTTGAAACCTGGGTTCGGGCAAGATGCCCCTCTTCTTGGGCCCAACTTGAAACCTGGATTCGGCCAAGATGCCTCTCTTGGGCCCAACTTGAAACCTGGATTCGGCCAAGATGCCCCTCTTGGGCCCAACTTGAAACCTGCGTTCGGCCAAGATGCCCCTCTTGGGCCCAACTTGAAACCTGGATTCGCGTGGGCCCAACTTGAAACCTGGATTCGGCCAAGATGCCCCCTCTTGGGCCCAACTTGAAACCTGCATTCGGGCAAGATGCCCCTCTTGGGCCCAACTTGAAACCTGGATTCGCGTGGGCCCAACTTGAAACCTGGATTCGGCCAAGATGCCCCCTCTTGGGCCCAACTTGAAACCTGGATTCGCGTGGGCCCAACTTGAAACCTGGATTCGGCCAAGATGCCCCTCTTGGGCCCAACTTGAAACCTGCGTTCGGCCAAGATGCCCCTCTTGGGCCCAACTTGAAACCTGGATTCGGCCAAAATGCCCCTCTTCGGCCCAACTTGAAACCTGGGTTCGGGCAAGATGCCCCTCTTCTTGGGCCCAACTTGAAACCTGGGTTCGGCCAAGATGCCTCTCTTGGGCCCAACTTGAAACCTGGATTCGGCCAAGGTGCCCTTCTTGCGCCCAGCCAAGATGCCCCTCTTGGGCCCAACTTGAAACCTGGATTCGGCCAAGATGCCCAACTTGAAACCTGGCTGCGGCCAAGTCTAAAAACGGAAATGTCCGTAACAGCACGAAAACCACGGTATTTACAGCGTTTTCTGCGTTTTCCAAGCTCGCTGCTCATGATGCTCGCTCTTGTGGGGGTTTTTTGGGGTGGCCGATGCCCCCCAAAACACATCAACAACGCGTCTTCGGCTAAAAAATAGAGACCTCTGGGGGGGGGGCACGCCTAAACCCCCTCCTTATCCCCGCCCCCACCGACCACCGCCCCCACTCCCGGCATGCAGTGGAGGTCTGGAGGGTGAGGGCGGTACTAAGGGGCAGTGGGTCTTCACTGACGCTGCCCCCGACTGAGATCGGCGGATATTAACCTCTAAGGCCCTCACCCTACGATCACGACGGCACATGCGGGGACGTACGACAGGAAAACACATATAGGTCTTAGGACTTTTTTGCGCTTGTACACCCTATGGAGCGGCGATTACGTTTCCAGCACGCAAGGGATAAACATCTTTATGTACTTAAGACACCTTTGTTTGAGGGGCTGTGAAACCCTTCGCAGAGCAAGGAGAGTTGGGTAAAAACCCGCTTGCTCTGCGAAAAGGTTCTATTCAAAAAGCGCAAGATATTTACAACCCTTATAGAGCCATCATTGCGTTAGCAGCACAGGGCTAAACATCTCAATGTACTTAAGCCACCTCTTTTCGGGATTTTACTGGTCGCGGGGGCATGTTCAGAACCCATATAGAGCCACGATTGCGTTACCACAGGTTCTTGGGTTTCATCGTAAGCAGCCAGAGCTCGCGCCAGAGCTGCCCCCTCTCCCCCATACCATGGCCAACTTGCAAGGAGAAGTCGGCCACACGAGGTTCCAGGGTCTGAGTATCTGAGTGTCTGAGAGGGGCACGTGGGCGCTCGAACGTTCTAGTTCTGCGCTCAGACACGCAGATACTCAGACACAGACCCTCAGACACTCAGATGCTCAGCTGCTCAGACACCCAGACGCTCAGACGCTCAAAGCCCTCAGGCATTCAGACTCACGGACACTCCGAAATTCACAAGGGTCTGACTGACGCAAGTCACTGAGTGACTGGGTCTGTTCTCCCAGCGTCAGGCTCTGACAGGCTGAGCGAATGAGAGAATGGGTCTGGCCTGGGAAGGTAAGAGTCTGAGTGACTCTGGGTCTGCTTTGAGAGGCTGAGTGACTGAGCGACTGCGTCTGGTTTGAGCGGCTGAGTGACTGAGCGTGGTTTCAAATGGGCGCCGTTCTGCACGCTCTCTCTCGTTCTTCCCCTGCATGTTAAAGCGGTTCCAAAAGCCTGTGCTGGTAACGGAATCGTGGCCCCATAACCCGGCGGCCCTCTGCGACAAACCTTTAAGGGATATGTTGTTACTTCTACAGTGTTCTGAAAGTGCATCCTCAAAAACATATCACGCCTTGAGTTGGAGGGGTTTCTGCATTTTTCTCAGAATATGCTCACAATGAGTAATGCTTTGTCTGTCGACTGCCAGCAAGTTCTATAAGCTGATGCAATGCGCCCTTGAAAATGAGACAGAAGAACAGTTTCAAGATGATTCCACCGGCCCATGCATCAGACATGTGGATCCCGGTGGTGTGAAGTCGAACCGAAACACTGCGCCGGGCGCAACAGATAAGCAGTCTGCACAGCCTGTTGCCGACAATCACTTGCGCAATTTTTTTGTTAGCTTTGATGCGAGGATGAGTTTGCAGCAGTTGCATTTTGTGTGTCAAGACGAGTGGGGGGAGAATGCAAAACAATCACTTGTCGGTTTACTGCCAGAAATGATCCACAATGTGGCATTTTTTGGCCCCAATTAGGGCCAAAAGCGCTGTTCGGATTTCTTGCAAATGCCTACTAGCAGATAGCAAAACGCCGTGGTTCAAACTGTTGCAGTCTGAGGGTTCCATGCCCCGTTTGCCGGCAGGTCAGCCTTCAGCAGTGGGGTGAGAGGTGCGGAGTGCAAGACAGGGCCTCAGAGCGGCTCGCCGAACTTTTGATGGTTGAGTGCTGGTTCCACAGGGCGGTGTGTCTAGTGTGTGTCACGGTGACATCAACAGTTCCAAAGAAGGCAGGGCAAAGGCTTGACGTGCCAACGCCGCCTTACCCTCCCATGCTGTACCAGGGGGTGAATCTAGAGTTTCTTGCTTGTATCGCAGACACGCATGCCTGCCTTCGAAATTGCGCAACATGTTGTTTTTTTGTACCATGTTCAGTGTGCACAAGTGCAATGAGAGGTTGCCCCGGAACCCCCCCCGCTCCCGCCCCTCTGGTCATCTCTGGTCTAACTTCCAAACATGAATGTTTTTCTCAGTTCAATTGACTTTAAGTGCCGCAGTTCCCCGATAGTCTGGTGACGCGTAGTGGCAAGGTGAAGCGCCCCGGCTTGGCATTGCGCAACTTGCCAAATCTTGCCAAGGTGTTTCTTTCAGCTCTTGGAGCGCGCGAAGATGAAGTTGTGGGAATACTGCCTGACGGCTTCTGCGGCTGGAGGCGGTCACCACATCAAAGCTGTGGGTGCATTTCACGCGGCGCTGATGTCTGGCAGGTGCCTGGCGACGCTTTTCGCTCCGGAGCACCTTTGAGATGGACCGATCCTCAGTTGAGACATGGAAGCGCTTGACGTTTGTGGGGATGTTCTGGCCAAATAGCCAAGAGACACAGCTTTGAAGACTTGCCGCTTTTCTGCAAGCGGCAGGTTGCAACAAACCTCAGGGAAGAGACCCAGGAGACGCGTCACCAAGCCTTGTAGAAAGTGATTGGCCCTCGGTTGTTGGGAGGCACCCTTGGTTCGTCTTCGCCGACTTGCCGAGCTTGGGCAACAAGGACAGCTCATTTAAAAAATGGAAGTCTGTTTGGCGGAATTTTGCTTGGAGGCCTCTCTGCGAGCGATGTGGCCCGAGAGCTGCGCAGGAGCAAAGCGCAGGCGGTCCCAACTGATTACAGATGAAGTTTCTGGTGAGCACGGGGATCCGACAAATCAGTGTTAGGATGAAGCGTGGTCGGGGATGAAAGAAAGAAGGGGGGACGAAAGAAGGCAGGAAGGAGAAAGCATGAAGGAAGGGAATGGCTTCCGGCTAGGCGTTTCTTATTTTCACACATCTCATTGACCCATTAGGTTGCTAGCTATATTTTTGCAAGACGCAATGGGAGGGAGGCGGGGCGCCCTTCCATTCTTTTGTGTGGCAACCATGTGGTCTCCTTGTCTGACTATCCCTCCATCCATTCATTCGACCTATTGAATTTTATCGAAAACAAATGCAACTTCTCCATGCCAAATTACAGTTAAGTTACAGGCTCTGCCAAAGTGCTGACAGAGTGCAACTAGGAGCTTCTCCCACACGAAACACGCGGCTAGCGCGAGAATTTCAAGCTTCTAGCTCCATCTTGCAAATAGTATGCCCGGATATCCGTTTCCAGCTCCAAAATGCTGCAAAGAGCATGTGATTTGAAAACTGGTGGCTCCAAAATGCTGCAAGGAGCTCAAAAATGCTGCAAGTAGCACGAGAAACGAAAGCTTCTTGCTCCAACATGTTGCACATAGCATGCACGGAAGCTTCAAAATGCCGCAAGAATATGTGATTTCAAAACCAGATGCTCCAAAATGCTGCAAGTGGCACGAGAATGAGAGCTTGTAGCTGCAACATGTTGCCGCAGATATCAACATTCTTCAAAGAGCATGCAGCATGTGATTCCAAGACTGGTGGCTCCAAAATGCTGCAAGTAGCGCGAGAAGCGAAAGCTTCTAGCTCTAACGTGTTGCACATAGCGCGCAAGGAAGGTCCAAAATGCTGCAAGTAGCAAGTGACAGTTTTTGCCTCCACGTCCACGATATGGCGCATGGCATGCAAGGATATCGCTTTCTAGCTTCAAACTGCTGCGCACAACATGTGATTTCCAAACTATATTGTCTCCGAAAGGAGGGGACATGAGAGCTTTTAGCTCCAACATGTTGCAAGTTCGCATGCGAAATTGACGGCTTCCAGTTTCAAGCCGCTGCAAAAAGCATGTGGCTTCAAACATGGCAGTTTCCAAATGCTGTAAGTAGCGTGAGCAATCAGAGCATCTGGCTCCAACGTGTGCCATGCAAGGATATTGCTTTCTAGCTCCAAGATGCTGCAAAGAGCCTGTGGTTTTAATGCTGGTAGCTCCAAAACTCCAAGCCTGTCCATCTCTCGGTGCCGCCCTCCTTCCATCGCGATCTCATCGTGCTGTCTTCGGTCGGCACATGACCTGGGCGCCCTCTTCACACCTCGCACCTGCCATGGCCAATGTGTTGCACTCCCAGTCCAAGCTTTGCACCGCCCTCAATAGTAGGGTTGGTTTGTTTGCCTGCGCTGCCCTCAGCTGCAGGGGGATTGGGTGTCTTCGCGTTTCAATTTTGCGCTGCCTCATAAGTAGCGTGGCATTCGACATCTTCTGGTGCCCACACCTCTGATCAGAAGGGGGTAGCACAAGCAACTGTCATCATGACAATTTGCGACTATCCGGGGAAACTCCAAAACCTTGCAACAGCAAGAGAAGTGTGAGCTCCTAGCTCCTACATGTGGCACTTGGCCCGTGCAGTCACAGGTTCGACCGCCAATGTGTTCAAACATATCGTGCTGCTTTTTTCGAACTCCCACGAATGGCATGTAGCTTAGAGCCGAGCAGTGGAGGATCCTGGGATTTTGTTTTGTCCCGATTTTTGTCATTTCGCTGGTGCTTTTTGGTGCATGTCCTTTCTGTTGTGTGCACAGCTGGAGGACGATGATGTCTTCCTTACGGAGAGGGAGCTGAAGATCTTGATCGCTAGGGTAACAACAGCAGAGGTTGTGATTGTGAACCTGGCCTTCGATGTGTCCCACGTGGGTGGAGCCGTTGCCTCAGCTCTAGTCCGTCGATGTGGCGTTGGGTTCGTCTGGCCCATTTTTTTTTGCCCACGAGCTGAGGACTACACCCTTGTAACAGAGGCGGCCTTTTTGAGCGACGTGGAAATCGGCCATGATGCCGACTTCCGCCAGCTGCGGTTGTTTGTGGCCGCAGTGGCCTCGGCTCTCCATTTTGCAAAATTGTTTCAGTGACTTCGGTGATGTGTGGGGGCTTGCCGCTGCCAACTCTCAGGAGGCAGAGGGCGTCTGCAGCTGGGAGGAGTTGCTGGGCCACCGACCCATCGTTCTCCATGTTGGCAGCGCTGGCTTGTGTTTGGGCGGGCTTTGGCAGCATGCGTCGCAAGCAGCCAAAATGTAAGGTGGAACGGCGGTGTAGGCAGATATGTTTGCCAACCTTTTCTTGGCGCTCAGGCATGCGTTTGGCCATGATTTGCTTTGCCTGGGGGGTATGTTTGTGGTTGCAACGCGCTTGGCCGAGCAACCGCCAGGCATACATTACTTCTTGTTGGCCAGGGTCTCATACCAACCACCTATGTTGCTTGATGTAGCAATAGTAGCGACCGAAAACGCGCGCAACACGGGTCGCTCAGGTGGGTGGACCTGACCCATCTCAATCGGAGCAGGACCTGGCGCTGCTTGTGGCATTCGCCCCAGAAACGCTTCTCGAACAAACAGGCCTTTAAAGAACATCGCCTTTCTCTGAAAAATCACGCAGCGCTCCTCCAGATCAGTTGGGGAACATCGCTGGAGCAAGGCAGCAGTAGGTAACCCAACAAGCACCTCAAGCAACATGTGTTTTGCTCACGACGGAAATGCCAATGTGCGCTCGGAAGCTTTGACCTGTAGGCAAGGCAAGGGTGGGAGTGGAGAGTGCGCTGCAGGGAGCAGGGGTTCTTTGCGTGACGAAACCATGCCAGAAAAGCGCCGGCATTTGCAGAATGTTTGGCAAGAACATAATGCTAAGGGATGCTTGACGTTTCTGGAACAAGACGCGCTGTCACGATCGTTCATGTCTGTTGTGAGCATGCCAAAAACGCAGGTATGCGCGGCATGTTGCCTTCCTGCGCAGTGAAAGAGGATGTTTGATGTTTCTGGAGCAAGACACGCTGTCACAAGTGTTCATGTCTTCCGTGAACATGCCACCTTTAGACATAGTATTCCTTATAGTAACGCCTAGTACCAGAAACTAAAAATCCCCACCAATGCGTCCACACCCAAAGGCGAAGCCTTCAAGCAGGTGCAGGTCGTAGCAGGTCGTAGCACGAAGCCAAACGCGGACATCACACCGCTGCACCACAGGCCCGCGCGCGAGGGGTGGAAACACCTCTCTTGTTCATCCAAAACCGATGTCCTGCCACAAGCTGTCCAACAGGGTTCCCATGCAACGCAGCGTAACGAAGCTTTGCTTTCAAGGGCCATGATGCTTAAACTTCCGGCAGTCGTGGAAGCTTGGCGAGCGAAGTTGGAATGCTTCGCGGGCCAACTGAATTTCAGGAAGCCTTCCGCTCAGCATGTCAGCTCTTGTAAACGTGGGCTGCAAGACGAAACTTGGGGAAAATGGTCCCGGTGCATGCGCCAGGCTCCGTAGGAGGCTTGTTTTTGGAAGCGGCGCCACTAACAGGCCCTGCGAGTAACCACATTTTCAAATGCTCGGGCTGGTGACTGCACACCTGCAACTCCAAGCCTAAACCCCTAATCCCCAAAGGCCTAAACCCTTGCTGTTTAACTCGGAGTTTGGTGTTTTTGGATTTACCAGAGGAGGGGGGGCGGGTCGGCTTCTTCGGCTTCACCCTAAACCCTAAGCAAAAGAACCCACGCTCAACTTGAAACCATGCTCAACTCCCAAAGTCGAACGAACCTTCTCAAGACCCTGAACCCTAAACCCTAAAACATTAAAGCTTTGCCTATTTCCCATGTTGAACTTTCAAATCGCGATTTTCGGCTCGGTGTTCTTTTTCGGCGTTATGGCTCAGACAATTCAGGTTCGAAATAGTGCTCTCGCCACCGTGCAGGCGTGCCGCCACCTTTGTTTTTGGCCTCGTGGTTTCTTTTGGATTGACTATTCCAGTATTGTGTCAGAACGATAATGAAGCTTCTGCAGTCATGGTCATGGCGGGGTGGTGGTTTCTATCGATCGCAGCGGCTCCTGCGTGTAGATGCCCTACAATCCAAGCCTAACAACGTCTCTGTAGAACTTGGAAAAGGCTGTCCCGACAGTCCCTAAAGGGATTTAGGATTAGCCATCCTTGTGGCGTCTACACCGCAGAAAGGGTCGAACTGACGGCTTTGGGGATAATCGGTGTGTAGTTAATGTAAGTCTTGGCTTTCAGGATCAAGACCGGCAAACCATGAGTCAGAAGTTCGAACAGAAAGGCGTAGTCGCCCTATAGCAACTCCAGTGGACTTCAACAAGTTAAAACTTTAGTTGGTGTCCAGAAGCCGCTAAGGAAATCAAGCCTTTGTTGTCGAGAGCAAAACCCTGACAGTTCATGGCATAGTTCTCTTGGTTAAGGGAAATTATCGGCCTGTGCTAAACACGTCGGACAGCAACGGCTTACCACAAATCTGCCGGCTCGTCAGGACTGCCAAGAGGAGATGATGCTCACGGCGGCGCTGGAGGAAAGAAGGTCGCTTGAAAGGCAGACCGCTGAGGTGGGTCTTGCTCCCTGACCACGGTATGTTCCGGACACGAACCCGATTGAAACTCAAGCCGCCGCAGGCTAGTCCGACACAGTGCGGTGGCAGGCACGGCGAGCGAGAGTTGAAAATCCAAGATGTCATTCAGGGATGCGAGTGCTAAGGGGCTTGTGGCAGAGCCTGCGACATGTTTTGACCACCTGTGCGAGGCCGGTATCCAGACCAAAGATGGCCAGTCAACCCCTCGATCGATGCCACGGCGGTCCCTAGCTTTGCCTTGCCGGTGGTTTGCCTGTTCATCAAGATGCTTTGCGCAGGGCTTGTGAAGGTTGCACTCCTTTTCGCGCATTGCATGGCGCATTGTCTTGTGCAACGGAGTTTCAGCACGTGTTACCATTTCCCCTTTGATGGCATCAGTGCTTTGCGCACCTTCGCATGAAGCGATGTGTCGCTCAGCACGACAACCATTGGTCTCATGACCATAATTCATGAGAACACTCTGCGGCACCCAGTGTTTTGGACGGGTGCCCAAATGGGCTGGAGGCTTGTGAACCATGCATCCATCAAAACGCTTGCGAAGGGCTAGCGCAGGGTTGTGCATGCTTCGACACTTGTGGGCCGGATTGGAGCCCCAGCTTTCCTGCCCTTGAATGCGATTGCTGTGACATGAGCCCGGGTTTGCCTGGGATGATGGCATACCTGCTTGGCGTTGCATGGGCGCGCGGTGACATGAAGCGTGCTGACATCCAGCGGAAAATCTGTGCGTGCCGCGATCCGACTGCCTTGTTCGAACTGCAGCGCTCAGGGCATGCCAGTTTGGCAAAAACATGCTTGTTTAAATAGTTGTTGTGATTGGAGCAGCTGCAGCGGCGCAGCAGCAGCACAGCTGGTTTACATAGGGTGCTATGACCCAACACGGTTTGGTGCCAAGCCCCATGGCTTCACAAGCTCCATGCATTCACAAGCTCCATCCTCAACTGCCGAAGTGCAACCTTAAAGTTTCAGGGTTGAGACGCATGGGGAGAGGCTTCCGAAAACAGCACCAACTCTTCGCGCGTTCGGTTCACAAGCCATGGACATCGCGATGGAGCGCTTCAGAAAGGAGCATCCCGTCTGTTTGGCTCCACGGCAGCAATGCCGCAATGTACTGGTTGAATCGCATGTACATCATCGATGCTGGTTGAAGATTTGAAGGGAAACATGTCCTTCTTGGCCCGTGCAGGTGGAGAACTTCGGGGAGCGCTCGCAAATCATTTGGGCTTCTGGGAAGCAATGTGATTTCACACGCGTCAAAACAAGTTGCTCACACCAAAGTCAAAGCTATGGATGTCTTACCCTCGCAGCCCCATCAAGCATCGGTCAACTATCTCCAGGAAGTGCTACATAGAAACAACTATGAGTCATGCAATCTATGTCTTTTTGTGTGCTGAGTATCGGCTTCCGAATGCGGTCACGATCCACCAGGCTCGGACGGCAAGCGGTTCATGTTACCCGTTGATGTTTGAGAAGCTGGCAGGAACGGCAGCGCAGAATCCGATCCTTGAAGGACTGCCTCGGCGCAGAAAGTTGACAGACAGAAAATGCCTCGTGTCTAACCAGGAACAGATCGCGGAGATCGACGAGCGGCTGGCGGCGTTCCCAGTTCAACGCCTTCAGTTTATTTGAATAAATTACCTACTCGGCTTGAGCTTCCTAGGCCCGTGCCTCTTCCCAAAAGGACTCCACACAGGGAGGCGAGGAGGCAGGGCATGGTTGAAGGGGGCTGAGGGAGAACAAAATGAAGCCATGATCTACAGCATCCTAGAACAAAGGTTTCGCGTGAAGCTTTCAGTCTGGACTGAGTGGGAAGCGCGGTTGAGAAATACAAGGTGAGAACTCGCAAACGCACAAGAACAAGCACACACACACACACACACACACACACACACACCACCACCGCACACACACACACACACACACACACACGCACACACACACACACACACAAACAAACACACACACACACACACACACACACACACACACACACACACACACACACACACACACACACACACACACACACACACACACACACAGACACACACAGACACACACACAGACACACACACACACACAACC